GGTCCGTGTGGGTAATCTAGGGTCCTGTCACCATATTATAACTCTAAGTCTTAAGCATATTCTTAAAATCCACTTTGCCAAGTAAAATGACATATTCACATGTTTCAAGAGATTAGGGTGTTCATGTTTGGGGCCCTACCATACCTTTTACATCCATTCTCTTTGCCAACATGTTGTACCAAGTGTATCCTACCTCTATAGGATGCTAGATAAATATTTTGGTTTCACTTTATTCATTTGTGAAATTATGGAGTTAAACTCACTGAATTTTAAAATTGATTCTGGCCCTTAACATTCTAGACTTGTATGAATCCTTATGATAGAGATACGAGAAAGTAAACCTAATGATTAATGTGGATATTATTGTTATTTTCTATTCATGGATTTTGCTAGAGTGTAGATTTCATATAATCCTGACTAACACCTTCCTTCTCACCCTTGGTAATCTTCTTTGGAGGCAGTCAATCTCTACAAAAGTTGACTTCTTCAGAAAGAAATTGACTTACCTCCTCAAAACTGTAATAACTGGTCCCTTGAGATGTTTTTTATCTACTTATACTTTACAGCTTGAGTATAGCTTTCACAGTGTTTCTTTGCTACATTTTTGCTTTTGCCTTATTGATTTGGAGTCAAAGAAATTGTTTTCCTTTCAATTCAGTTTCTTGAAAAGTCAGCTTCTTCCTGAGCCCAGGCATAATAAAGGTTTGCCAACATTTTAAAAGATACAATGCCTAACTCACCATTAAGAATAGGTATCAAATAACTATATGTATTTGTGCCACAAAATCAAATCCTCTAAATCTTAATTTGTTTATATAGAAAAAAAAATGGAGAAAATGTTAATACCTAACTGCCGGAGTTGCAAAAATCAAATAAGATAATTCAGGAGAAGTATTTAGCAAGTGTTTCATGGATGTGAACCACTAATACTGTTTTGGAGTAGGAGCTGCAGGGATGGACAGGCCATCTGAGTTTGCCTTGCACTTCAGCATCCTGGGAAACCCTTCAGTCTTAGGAAAATCTGGAAGTTGGTCACCCTAGGAGCAGTAGTGTTTGGAAACAGAGCTACATATAAATATGGGCTTCATCTTCAACCTAAAGGAAATTATTTAATCTTTGAGGTGAAATAAAATCTGGAAGTTGGTCACCCTAGGAGCAGTAGTGTTTGGAAACAGAGCTACATATAAATATGGGCTTCATCTTCAACCTAAAGGAAATTATTTAATCTTTGAGGTGAAATATCTTTATCTGAAAATGTATGTGAAGACTGTAAGTAGGAGATTTCGCCCAAGTAGCAACAACAGTAGTAACTTTATTCTTCCTGCTTAAAACATGTTTACCATCTTCCTTCTGCTCCGAGGCTTAGGCACACAAAAAAGTTTTGCTTGATATGAAAAGGTCCTTCAAGATCTATTTCTAACCTGCTTTTCCAGACGCATATGCTGTTATGGTTCTTTGACTTATCAATAGTGATAATAATAGCATCAGTGATGATTCCGATGATGATAAGGAACTATTTCCTGTGCAGTGTCTGCTTAGTCGTGTCCAGCTCTTTACGACCCAAGGACTGTAGCCTGCCAGGCTCCTATGTCCATGGGTTTTCCCAGGCAAGAATAATGGAGTGGGTTGCCATTTCCTACTCCAGGGGATCTTCCCGACCAGGGATTGAACCCACGCCTCTTGTGTCTCCTGCATTGGCAGGTGGATTATTTACCACTGTGCCACCCGGGAAACCCCAACTGTTACCTAGTGCTTTCTGTATAGGAAGAGCAGCGATGAAGACTTTATATAAGAACTGAAACCAAAGAATCCCAGAACTAGTCACTACTTCCTGTACATACCACTCTTATACACTGCTCAGACTTTGTCCAGGGCCATTACCAGCAAATGCAAATTCTTCCTATCTGCCCTTCAAGAGGGAACTTCCCTGGTGGCTTAGCAATAAAGAATTCACATGCAATACAGGAGACACAGGTTTGATCCCTGGGTCAGGGAGATCCGCTGGAGTAGAAAACGGCAACCCACTCCAGCATTCTTGCTCAGAGGAGCCTGGTGGGCTATGGTCCCTGAGGTTGCAAAGATCTGGGCATGACTGAGCGTCAGCACAGTCCTTCAAGATCCTGTCCCCAGAACCCACAGGACAGGATGCTTGCCCTTCACTGACCCCAAGACAGTTTACCCATGACTTTGCGCCCCTACCTGATACTTACTGCCTTACAGTAAACTTGTTTTAATGCACCTGTATCCTTCACTGAAAAAGCCCCGCTCCTGTTCCTAGAACCAAGCATAAGACTGGATCAGTAGGTTCCTCTGTGAAATGCATGAGAGACTGTGACATTGGTAGATCAGTTGATCTACTTTACAGCAAACGGTCCCCTCAAGAATTTGTGATCAATATGTAGTTTTCATATTATCTGAGTGACTGAACTGAACTGATGGAAAATTGTAAAAGCTGATTTACTGTGTCAAAATGCATGTGGCTTTAAGAACTATGGCATATAAAGATTAAATCATTTAAAATGCATGCCTTTCTCATGGAATAAAAGACTACAATAGAAATGAACCAAGTGTCTGTTGTTGAAGTCTGTTATTTAAGATCAGAAGAGAGAAGGTGTTACAGATAACACCACTAAATCCCCCATGGGCAGGGTTAGGGAAATGGTGGAGTCTCTCTTGTGATTAGTTCTGCTTATGATTTGGAGACCTGCTGACCCTGATCTATAGACTTTGCTGCTTCTCTAGAAGTACAAGGAGCTGAAATATACACAGTTGAGACCTATTATTTAATTGACTGTCAGCCACTATCATTTCAGATTGAAGAAGCTTGAAAAAAGAGTCACTTAGTTGTGTCCGACTCTTTGCTACCCCATGGACTATACAGTCCATAGAATTCTCCAGGCCAGAATCCTGGAGTGGGTAGCCATTCCCTTCTCCAGGGGATCTTCCCAACCCAGAGACTTAATCCAGGTCTCCAGCATTGCAGGCAGATTCTTTACCAGCTGAGCCACCATGGAAGACCAAGAATACTGGAGTGGGTAGCCTATTTCTTCTCCAGCGGATCTTCCAGTCCCAGGAATAGAACCGGAGTGTCCTTCATTGCAGGCAGATTCTTTACCAGTGGAGCTGCCAGGAAAACCCTTGAAGAAGCTTACTTATTCTCAAATTATATTTTGAAAATGGAAAAACAAGATCATCACTTAGACTAATAGCCAGAGGGATAACTTGATAACCCTTTGCCTAGATTGTTTTAAAAAGTTGTAATATAAAATTACTTTCTTCCCATGGGGCTTTCAGATAACTGTTTTACATGGTTTTACTTTCCAAATATTGAGATAGATAGTTGAAAATTAAAGAATTCAAAATGAATTAAAGTATGGCTATAAAAGGGCTTCCCTGCTGGCTCAGATTGTTAAGAATCTTCCTGTAATACAGGAGACCCAGGTTCAATCCCTGGGTCTGGAAGATCCTCTGGAGAAGGGAATGGCAACCCACTCTACTGTTCTTGACTGGAGAATTCCACGGACAGAGGATCCTGGTAGGCTACAGTCCATGGGGTCGCAAAGAGTTGGACATGACTGAGTGACTAACATACTAAATTGACTCTGAAAAATCAGTATACTAGTATTTCTTAAGGTTGATCCAGCTTACCATCTCCTCTGTTTTAATATTTGAAATATTTTTAGACTTATTTTTGTTTGTCCCCCATAGTTGACTTTTCCATTAAGTATATTTTATGGTAGTTTTACCTTTTACAATATAATTGATATGTCAAAAATGAGTTAGCATTGATTTGATGCATAGTTTTTAATATGTCTTTGCAGTATCAATAGATCTGTAATATCTGCACTATCATTGTTGTCATTTGGCCAGTGAAATGAGGTCTCCGGACTCCTGAGAGATTTGAAATGGCCAGATTATGTAGAACTCCTCAAGTGAATACTTACTAATGCCAATTTGGGAAATTTGTGATAGCATGTGACACGTTAGCAAATCCCCAAACGGGAGGAGGTGTCTTCAGCAGGATCATATCTAGGTGAAAATTTAGTTCAAAAATTGCCTTGAGACCCTTGTATGGTACTCTGTGTTGTGGTTTTATGATAGTTGATATACAGAACATGGGTAGGTGAATGATAAACGTCTGAATGTCAGTTCATTCTGACTCATCAGGAAACACCAGTTTTGCTCAGACTTACTTATTTCCTCCCTGGTTGATTTCCAGCTATGCTAACATAAAGACAAATAATTTGGGTACCAAACAGCCTAAAATGATGAACCTTATATTTAAAATGTACACTGAAAATATTTTGTTAGAACTAGAGCACTTGTCTCCCTGCTTCTGTGCTTCTCAGAGCAAGGAAATGTCATGCTGTAGTTGCTCTGCGTCTGAATTTATTTCCAATTCCTCTTTTATAGTCTTTTTGGAGACAGTGTATAGTGAGTCATTAGCATTAATATTATTTCAGTTTCAGTCAGGCTACATATCCATACTTAGACAAGGGTGCTCGGTGGATTTCATTATTCATTCAGAATAAATTCCTACTTTAATATAAATGTTGCTCAGGATAGAGCTTTGAAATGGATCCTGATTCTTTAAATTCTTTCCTGTCTGTTTCAGGAAATAGTAAGATCCTGTTGATAGTAAAGTACAATGTGTCTAAAGTTCACTTCTAAACACTCTGCTCTTTGCAATGAAAGTCATCTGCATTCTCTTTGTAATTCAGAGCCACAAGAGATCTGTCTAATCTTGGAGATCTGATCCCGTATCATTTAGGAAAAAAAAAATTCTTGATAATAATTCTACCATTTAGATTAGTGAAAGCAATAAAGCTTTGCAGCTTCTGTCGTCTTAAAAAAGATATCATGAGACGGGGGAATAAGGACTTGGATTATGGTTTGGGAGATTTAGTTATTTGGGAAAATAAAATGATTAGTACTGTTATTATTCAAGTTTGTAATCAACGAAAGCAAATGGCATCTGTTTGTTATCATTCTTTCTACAGAAGACAAAGGCTCAGGTCCCGATGGTGCTGACTGCTGGTCCCAAGTGGCTGCTGGATGTGACTTGGCAAGGAGTGGACGACAACAAAAACAACTGCATCGTGTACAGCAAAGGTAACTGCGAGAGCTTTTCACTCACGCTTTGGAGGTATTGAAACCTGAGCTTTGCAAAACAGCCCCGAATGAGCTGGGAGGGGAGTACAAAGTAAAATGGGATCCTCTCTTCCTTTTCCCCTTATGCATCTCCCTAACCTGTATTTTCAGCAAAGACTACCGGATTGTTTCTTTTTTTTTTTCCCCTTGTTCAGCATAAAACAAAAGGAGTTAGGCCTTTACTTCGCACCATGCACATTCACCTCACCACGGATTTGAGTGTCTGGACTAGTACCTTCCTCGCTGTTACTTTTATTGATAGCAGGTTTGATGAAATCTCAGATTCCTCTCTGAGGCATTATCCATCAGAAAGTAAATTCCTTTTGAAATGGAGCAGTCCGTGTCAGGGTGACAAGGTGCGTGCTCCGGGAAGCACTGAACTCCAGCCAGTCTCTTGAAATCACACAGGATGAGCGCAGAGCTGAAAAGGAAGCCATTGCAAAGTCTGAGAATTCCTCCCCATGGTGATTTCTGAAGGGCAGGAGGCAAATGGGAGCGAGGAAGCGATGGCTTGCAGAGCTTTGCCTTTGATTTGCTCAGTGTGGCTTCAGCCTAGACTGCGTCACACAGCGACGCCCAGGCTACAAAGGAGCCGCCGCTCCCTGACACACGTCGTGGGACAGCTGCCCCAGACTCAGGCCCCTCTGTGCGGGTGATGTGGTTGGCTGCGCTTTCCTCCATATCAACTTCTGGGCCCAAGCTCTGTACTTTGAGAGTGAAATCCCTAATCTTGCTTCTTCGTAAATATTGCAAAACCTTGTGCTTCTCATGTTTAATTTCTTTTCGCTTTCTTTTTTAACCAAATAGACCTACTGAGATCAAAGATGTGTTTGCACATTGAACCTAGAAACCATGAAAGCATACAAGGGAACAAGCAAATAAGCACCCCTATCAATATATTAACATATAAAACACTAATCATAACATCAAAGACTCTTAAAAACTTGCTAGAAACAATTACAACTTGTTCCTATAATCATTACAATTTGTACACTTATAAGAGGATTGCCTTTAAACTACCATAAGCCTTTGAAAGTTGAACACCGGAAAGAGGGAATTTGCAAGCTAAAAAAACAATCTGCACACCAGGATCTGATTATATTCCTTTTCCTTCTGTAATTGCTGGTCCCATACCCACTTATTTTCTAACCCCAAATACCTGTGGTATGCTGGTGGGAGCTTTTAGCTAGAAGGGAAGTGAGTTTTCCCAGGATATGTCACTATGTTCTATCAAAATGGAAAGCAATATTGCAGTGAACCAGCTTGCCAGTGTCCACATTCAGAATGCAAACCACAGAAACGATGGCTTGGAGTGTAGGATCAATGACTGGGAATAAATTTTTGTTGTACAATGTCTTATCTCTATGATGGCAATATAATATGGAGGAACCAAGAGGGTAGTTGTTCTTCTACCATGATCCAAATTCATTACATGTTTAAATCAGGCATTCTTTTAGAAGAGAAGATTGTTACATTGTTACATAAGGGGAAAAGCTATAACAAAATTGTAATTCTGTGCTCAATGGAGTACTTTAATTTGAGCATATTTGTGCATTTTCTTTATAGTTAGATATACCTGAATCCTCCTGGCAATAAACATTGGGAGTAATCTGCAGAAGCTTATTAATTAACTCATAAAGCATGGCTAAAGCCCAATTGTGTGCTCCGTTTGTACATGGATAATAACAGCTACCCTTGATTAAGCACCCCCCAATCCTCTCCTTGGTACTCCCATACCAAATTCTATGCACTTCCCTCATTGCTCTCTTCACCTCATTTTATGGTCATTTTGTATGTTAGAAAAAGTTGTAAAAAGTTAGCTATTATTGCCTGCCTTTGCAATCTACTCAATATGAATCCCTAATATACAATAGTTTTTAACCTACAAAAGGTAACTTGATATTATTCAACTTACAAGACCAGTTGGTATTGCAATTCAAATAACAAGGACTGCAGTAACTACTGTATATGCATTATTTCATTTAATCGTAATTTAATACCTCCTAGTAGGTAATTAACATCCTACTCAATTTTACAAAAAGTGAACTGGAGAAAAAAGTGAACTTGAGACATGGCTAGATTAGGTAATTTGTCATGGTCATGTAGCTGTATCTCTGTTTTGCTTTTTCAAAACAATTTGTGGTATCCTTGATTTACAATGTTGTGTTAATTTCTGCCGTAGAGCAAAGTGATTCAGTTACACATATATATTTCCTGAATATTCTACTAAGTGTTTAAAGTGGGGTGCAAACACATATCTGTCTAATTGAGGGTCTGAGTTATACATATTAGAATAAGTTCTCCCTGCTTTAGGGTTTCAAACAGCTAGATGAGATAGGTAGTATGTTTCTCATTTTACACAACCTGATGTGAGTGACTTAGGGCAGTAGTATGGTTGTCTCTGTTCATGGAGAGCTAACAGAGAATCCAAATTTGAATCCAGGTTTTGATGATTCCAAATCCTATACTCTCTGAACTGTATGACTCTACCTTTCCCCTTGACACTATTCCATGCTGAGTAAATTCTCTTATACTACTTAGGCATTTCAGAGTACTATAATACTCTGAAATCACAGAGTATTATAATATAGCACTTTCCAAAGTGCATTTCACATAACCCTAAGATTAAAGGAAAGGTCAAATATTGCCTATATTGGCCTTTCTTGAAAACTGACAAGGCCTGCTGGTATTAATGCTCTGAGAAGTCCTGTAGTGAAATAAAACAAAAGTCTTTGTAACTCATTTGACTGTATGATATACAAACTTTTTTTCTATGGACATCCTTAGGAACATTGGAATTAGTGCTCTGGGTGACACCACTTGGGAAAACTCTACTGTAGACTCTACTCTGATCCCCTAGACGGGCTTCAGAGGCCTGATGCTAATTGCTAGTAATCAAATAGCCTTTGGAGGAAGGGGATAGTTCACTCAAAGTTTTGTGAATACCTCAGTATTCTAGGACTATACTAGGGATCATTCACATCGTGGAAATAGGGCCCCAGGAATCACTGCTACCAGGACTGCATGGGCTCTGAAGCCTTCTGTCTTCACAGACGGTGGGTATGATTCTTGTTGTTCAGTCACTTCAGTTCAGTTCAGTTGCTCAGCCATGTCCAGCTCTTTGCGACCCCATGAATCGCAGCACACCAGGCCTCCCTGTCCATCACCAACTCCTGGAGTTTACTCAAGCTCATGTCCGTCGAGTCGGTGATGCCATCCAGCCATCTCATACTCTGTCATCCCCTTCTCCTCTTGCCCTCAATCCCTCCCAGCATCAGGGTCTTTTCCAATGAGTCAACTCTTCCCATGAGGTGGCCAAAGTGTTGGAGTTTCAGCTTCAGCATCAGTCCTTCCAATGAACATCCAGGACTGATCTCCTTTAGGATGGGCTGGTTGGATCTCCTTGCAGTCCAAGGGTCTCTCAAGAGTCTTCTCCAACACCACAGTTCAAAAGCATCAATTTTTCGGCACTCAGCTTTCTTCACAGTCCAACTCTTTCAATCACTTAGTCATGTCCAATTCTTTGCAACCCCATGAACTGTAGCCCGCCAGGCTCCTCTGTCCATGGGATTCTCCAGGCAAGAATACTGGAGTGGGTTGCCATTTTCTTCTCCAGAGGATCTTCCCAACCCAGGGATCAAATCCATGTCTCCTGCCTTGCAGGTAGATTCTTTACCCTTGGGACACCAGGGGAGCCCCTGCGAATGATAAGCCTACTCTAAGCAAAAGAGTTTTGTAGTTAAAAGAAATTGGTGATTTAGATTTAATAGGTACATATTGACTTGGACATCTATAGTGTGTGAGACATTTTCGTAACATGTATGTTATTTATCAGTTGGGGCTCTTTTGTTTTCAAATGATAGAAATCCAGATAAAATTGGTTTATGCAAAAAACCACACACATGTGTGTGTGTATGTTGAGGGTAGGAGGATTCATCTGCTCATATAACTGAGAATCAAGGGATATTCTAAACTTCAGGATCAGTTTAATTCAGATGTTCAAACTTTGTCCCCAGACTGTCTCTATCTTCTGTTTCATCTTTCTTTTGTGTGTTTTATTCTCAGAGATGTTCTTGTCAAGTGGTGGGAAGCTCTAAACTTACATTCTACAAGCAGAGCAATGCCCGTGCAAATAGAGCTTTTCTGGATTTTGTTTGAGGTACATCACAAACAATCCTTGAACCAGTTAATCACTGTGACTCTTCTTTTCAAACTACAATCCTCTGTAGTTTTGTATATAAGCCAGTGAGACATAGGAGACATAATGAGACACAGGAGAAGTAGTTCCCCAAATGAAACCTAAGTGCTACTTCCATATAATAAAGAATGGTCGCTTGATAGGCTAACATCCATGCACCAACATGCAACACATTACTCCTCATGTCTAAAGAGCTCTCACTGAAGATCAGCTCTCACTAACATCAAATTACATTGCCTTATTTTGTTTTCTAGCTAAGCACCACAATACTTATGAATTCCATGCCAAAGTCACTTTCATTGGCTCTGGCTATCTGAAAGTATATTAGTAGCTATTGATTAATACAAATAGAATGCAAGATGCATATATGTTGTACTTTTAAATGCCTTGACTCTGAAATTTTTGATAATATTTTTCTTATGGCATGTAAGATATACTACTTAATGTGTAACCATTATCGTTTAAGAGATATACTTACCTTTTGAAGTATTATTAAACGTGGGCTGGTGTTAACATTAAATATAATGATAAAATTTTCATTTCCAGGTGTCCATCTAATAATTATTATAGAGTTATATTACTTAGTGCTATTTGACAGGCTGCCATCATCCTGTTTTATTCGAGTAAAAAAAAAATAGTACTTGGCATTAATATTATCATCTGATGTACTTTTTTCCCTGCCTCAACTACCCCCTGTCATTCCAGAAAGTAATTAGCTCATCCAGACATTGATGGACCAGACTTGTTGGGTTGTCTGGTTTTT